GTAGTCAAATGCATTACACACTACGGCACCAGAGCTCCTGTGCCACCTAGGAACTTAAATGAAGTTTGCGCTAAAAATCTTGTGACTGCACCAGGAGTCCAAGGCCTGTGTTCATCTTTGTAACCTGTGTGTGCCCTTTGTTAAGGATCCAACAAAAACGTATTATTTTATCACACAGTCAGTGGAAAACTTCATTTCATCTGTCTCTCTCCACCCCCAAAAGGCACAAATGGAGCTTTTTAAAAGGTAAGAAGCATATCTTTTCTCCAAAGAGAACAAGTGCACAATTCTGGAGCTTGAGGATAGCATTGGTGCAAAGGTGTCACTGCCCTGGCCTTCATCTGCGAGTAGAAGTTAAGGTGGCAGGAGACTCAGGGTACCAGGGCCTCAGGTCTCCTGGGCAGCAGCTATCTTCATGGCACTGGGAAAACCATCTCTCCCTGCAGATCCTGGCATCAAATAGAGATGTGTCTAATCTGAAGCTCCAGAATTCTCTGATCTAGGAAAGGAGCCTGGAGGTGTAGAAATCAAGGCCCTTACTGTATTGGAGGAGAAAGGGTAACCTCATTTTCTGGAACATCTATATTCTGGGTAATACACACTAAAGGGGCTCAGTGTCTTGCCCTTCTCATCACAGGGCAGACTATTGCCTGAATAATGATAATTTGAAGAAATGAAAAGGAAGATTTTTCAGGGTCCACAAGTAGCATCTAATTTGATTCTCATAAACAGCTTTGATAGGCAAATACCATTCTCACAGATGCACTCATTTATGGATGAAAGTATCAAACTCTTCCCTTGTAAATTGCTTTCATCACCTCCTGATTCCGGATAAATGGAACAATGAACAAGCAGCCTGGCCAAGCCCCTGGAACATGCTCACATAGACTGGGTGGCACAGAAGCCACAGAAAGCTGACATGGCAGCCAAGTCCAGTGACGCCACCAAATCCCTCCCAAGTGGACACCAAGGACCACATTGGTATTTGATTTCACTTGCTTCTGTTTGTGTTAAAAACTTGGTTTCTATCCCTGTCACATCAGTTTATAAGCATCACCACACCCAGGTGCTGGGAGAGCAAGACAGGGTGGCATTAGGTCTCCATTATCTAGAACAATGATCACAGATGGTCCCAGATGTCTTAATTCCACTTCCTGATTCCAGGAAGGCAAGAGCTGGGCTTCCTCCTCCCACAGACCCCTTCCTGGATGGCCTAGGGTGAACTTACTGTTTTAGAAAGGGTGAACTTACTGTTTTAGAAAGGGTGAACTTATTGTTTTAGAAAGGCACATTAATCCCGTTTTAGTTAAACCTAGCCTTGGGTGCTGCACATACATCAATCATCTCAATGAAATTTCACATCTTTAAGGTCCGTACTACAATGGGGACATGCCACAGACTAGGAAGCCAAGGTTCACAGAGTGGAAGAGATTTGCTCTTAAGCAACAGAGCCTGGATACCAGGTAAGGGCTGTCTGATTTATCCCTCAGTGCCCACTGGTGTAGTGGTTAAGCTCTTGGGTGCTAGTGGTTCAAATCCACTAGCTGCTCCATGTAAGAAAGATATGACAGTCTGCTTCCATAAAGATTACAGCCTTGGAAATGTTACAGGGCAGTTCTACTCTGTCCTATGGGGTCACTGTGAGTCAGAATCAACTCCACGGTAATGGGTTTCAGCAATGGGCTGGGTCTGATATTCGTAGGCCCAGCAGAAGATGTGGTCAATTTTCCTCAATGGAGGTGATGGGGGAAGTGTCTTACTCTCAGTGGCAGGGTCAAAGACAGGTTTCTAGTTCTGACTCTGGAACAATCCTTTGCTTCAACCTGGTGGGGAAAAAAAAATAAACATTTTCAGTGACAATTTCCCCTGGCAATGCATTCCTGGGAGTTTAGAGTTGCAAACCCCTAAAGAGAAATTCTAGAAAGTTCTATCTTGGGATTGGAGGGGAAGGTGGAGATGACAGAGTTGGGCAAGGAGTATGGTGGTGGTAGAAGTGTTAGTTTTGTTTAATTGGGAGAGAGTGGGGGAGAAGAACACTTGGATCCTTGGAGAGCATTGCAAAGTATAAGGTAGCAGGATTGAGAAATGTGAACAGAGAGGATAAGGAGAGGTGTTTGGCTCTGGACAGAGCAGGAGAATAGAGACAACTACTCAAGATAGCTTTGGCTGGAAGGATCCCTGCACCCACTGTCTTTTCTGCTGGGCTGAGGCCAATGGGGAGAGCTTCTACAAGGCATGGCTTCACAAGGTGGCACTCCTGTTAGGGTACCCATTTCATGGTGTGTGTGTGTGTGTGCATGTGTGTGTGTTTCTGGAGTAGGCTCTGGTCTTGAAACCCCTGGCAATTAGTATATCTGTGCACTTGTGGAGCCCACACCCAAGGGGGAGACTGGGAACGCATGCTAGCTACTGGCAAATTTTCTGTGCTCTAGATTTGAGTTTCTAAATCAGGTAGTGTCTGCCATTCCTGTACAGATGAAGGCCAGTAGAACTGAGGCCAGTAGAGGGAGGGGGACTAGTTCAAGGTTACAATGCAAAATAGTGGCAGAGATGGAACTCTGGACCTTTATCAAGTGTGAAGTGACAGGGACTGGTTTGGAAAGGAGCTCAGGGCCAGTGGGTCAGCTTATTGTGAAAGAAGACACACACAGATGAGTCCATGGTAGCGCCACATCCCACGTCGCAATGATTTTGCTAAAGAGGAATGAATGGCCGGGCAGGAAGAAGCTTTTCCTAGAAGCCTCCTGGCGGCCTACACTCAGAGCTCATAGCTGGGGCCTTTGCATGTGTGTACATGTGTAAGGTGATGTGTCCAAATAATTACTATTTTGCCAGGTGGTCTGAGGCTTACTCTGGTCGGAAAGCCCAAGATGGTCAACCCAAGGGTGTGACTGGGCCTTCGGCCTGGTGCTTCCAGGAACAGAGGATCAATGTGACCTTGCAGACCTCTCAGTTCTTTTCGGAGCTGAGGGAAAGGCAGGGGTGTAAAGCCCACTGGTATCAGCAGAGGCCTGTGAGAAGCGGGGCGATTTAAAGAACCAACTTCGGTTGGAGCGATTCCATTTTATGCCTTCCAAATCCCTTTGTCCTATAAAGAGGAAACTGAGGCAGAAAGAAAAATAGGATCCATCTAGGAAGCCACTTGTTTTAACTCCCAATCTCATCATCATTGTTCTGAAAGCTAGCATAGCCACCTATACCTTTGGCAGTCCCTGGGTTCCAATCCCCACGGGCCCTTTAGAAAGAGTCATCTCCACAAACGGACGTTCAATTAGAAACAATTATGTGGCTGACTCACCACAATCATCCTGCACCCAGGTCTCTGATCAAAATTGCCTATTTCTACCGGACAAATTAACCGCATAATTGCCCTCCTCTCGTTTCTGCCGATGTAGACGCCACCTGAGACACGCTTCAGCCTCATCGCCCGAGCTGGACACAGATGGAGTCTGTTGCTTGCTCAGCTTTCGCCGGAGCACCGCGTTCCCAGGCGCCCAGAAGCTGGACAGGGCTCGGGCCGGCAAGCGCCAGGGCCGAGGGCCCGGGAAGGGCGCTTGGGCAGGCGCCGTCCAAGCGGGCGAGCGACGGCTGCTAGCCCCTCCCCCTCCCTCGCGGCGCCAGCACGCGGCCCAACCGGGCTCGGCTCCCAGTCGCCTGCCACCGGCCGGCCGGGCACACGCCTGGGGCGGGATGGAGGCTGCGCCAAGGGCCGCCGAGGTGCCTGCCGCGGTGCCCAACAACCAGGGACGTTCCCCAGGGCCCCCAAGCTCCATCACCTCCACACTGCACCACCGTTCTTTTTTCCCAGACCCAACCAGGTAATATTCCAGCGCGCTCCAGTTCTGTGCCACCCCCAGTCAGTCTGGAAATAATCCTCTGGAGGAGAAGAAAGGGGGCGATGCCAATGGTCGGCAGAGTTCATCCTTGAAGGCATCCCTGCCTGCACACACTTCTAACCACAACTGCTTCTCCGTGCGCTCAACTCCCTCCTCCTCGCTTATGCTCTCCATACATGTTTGCTCAGTTGTGAGGTTCACGTCAGTAGTTTTTAGAGCAGAAAGGGACTTTAAAGTCGTTGCCGTCGGTCGATTCCGACTCATAGCAACCCTGTAGCACAGAGTAGAAATGCTGTAGATCTTTACTGAAGCAGACTGGCACCTCTGTCTTCTACAAAGCTACCGGTGGGTTTGAACAGCCAAGTGTTTAATCATTGCGCCGCCGGGGCTCCTTGGAAAGGACATAAAGGACCATTCAATACAACTATCTGTTGCCACAGAGAACTGAGGCTCTGAGAGGATGACACTTCCCAAGGGCCACAGAGCTGGTGGAAGGAGAGGCTGGGACTAGAACACAAGGCTTAGCATAGTTTTCCCATGACACTGGACTGAGTTGCCCCTCGTCTTTCCCAGCTCCAATCCTATCAATTTGCTTCAGTTTCTAAGGGCAATGAAGACCCCCCAAGTCAGTGACAGTGGGAAGAAGAAACCAGAGAAAGCCGAGCCCCACTTCCCCCAACCTCCACACCGCCCCTGTGCCACTTTCTCCGTCCAAATCCTTCATTGCGCTTTGCTCCAAGTTCTCTGAAGAATTTCCGTGCACCTTGCTCCGAATCTTTCTTCCCCTACACCCCAATTCCCAGCGCCATTCGTCCCTCCTGCAACGCCGCTCCCCCCCCCCCTTTCAAGAGCCACCCCCGGCAGCAGCCCGCCCCGAGCGCGCCGCCTGTTTATTCAGCCGGGAGTCCGGCACGCGCCAGGCGCACGCACTGCAACAACAAACCCTGCTGAATGGAGAGTTTGCAAGGAGCGGGCGCAGGGAACGGGCGGAGTAAGGGGGAGGAGGGAGAGTTTAGGGAGTCGGTGAGAGGAGGAGGTAAGAGGAGGGGGTGGTGGGGGCTGCAGCCGCTTGCCGCAGCCGCGGGGAGTGGGGGGCGAGGCGGGGCCAGGGCAGCGCGTGGGGCTGGGTGTCCCATTGAAAAGGCGGCGGCACTCCGGCCGCCCAGCACTCTCTCACTTCTAGTCAGGGAACGTGGAAGGCGACAGGGAGCCGGCCAGGGAGGGCGAGTGAAAGAAGGAAATAAGAAAGAAAGGGGGTTAACAAAATAATAATAATAATAATAAAACAGCCTGAGCCACGGCTGGAGAGATCGAGACCCGGCGCAAGAGCGCGCAGCGGTAGGGGGAGAGTGAGCGGGCGACTCAGCAGAGCGCGCTCGGCACCGACTTTTGCTGCTTCTTCTGCCTTTTTTTTTTTTTTTTTTTAACAAGAAGGCGCTAGCTGCAGCCTCACACGCGAGCGCCACGCGAGGCTCCTGAAGCCAACCCAGGAGGGGAGGAGGGGGAGAGGAGGAGTGGAGGGAGGAGGAAAAGGATTTGCACCTTCCGTGCTCCTAGCCTGAGAAGTCTCCCCGGGACTTGTATTTTTAATTTCCCTCTTGGCTCCCTCTTCACCTTTCTTCTTCTTTCCCTCTCTGTTCGTGCACCCGAGTTCTGTCTGTGTCTCCCTCCTGCGGGCCCTCCCCTCGTGTCCCCGCTTGCTCCTATTCCACGACTCCTTGGCCACCGCTGCGCATGGAGAGCTCTGCCAAGATGGAGAGCGGCGGCGCGGGCCAGCAGCCCCAGCCGCAACCCCAGCAGCCCTTCCTGCAGCCGGCAGCCTGCTTCTTCGCTACGGCCGCGGCGGCGGCGGTGGCGGCGGCGGCCCAGAGCGCACAGCAGCAGCCGCCGCCCCCGCCGCCGCAGCAGGCGCCACAGCTGAGCCCGGCGGCCGACGGCCAACCCTCAGGGGGCGGTCACAAGTCAGCGCCCAAGCAAGTCAAGCGACAGCGCTCGTCCTCGCCCGAACTGATGCGCTGCAAACGGCGGCTGAATTTCAGCGGCTTCGGCTACAGCCTGCCCCAGCAGCAGCCGGCCGCCGTGGCGCGCCGCAACGAGCGCGAGCGCAACCGCGTCAAGCTGGTCAACCTGGGCTTCGCCACCCTGCGTGAGCACGTCCCCAACGGCGCGGCCAACAAGAAGATGAGCAAGGTGGAGACTCTGCGCTCGGCGGTCGAGTATATCCGCGCGCTGCAGCAGCTGCTGGACGAGCACGACGCAGTGAGCGCTGCCTTCCAGGCTGGCGTCCTGTCGCCCACCATCTCCCCCAACTACTCCAACGACATGAACTCTATGGCCGGCTCGCCGGTCTCATCCTACTCCTCCGATGAGGGCTCTTACGACCCGCTCAGCCCCGAGGAGCAAGAGCTGCTCGATTTCACCAACTGGTTCTGAGGGGTTTGGCCTGGTCAGGCCCTGGTGCCAGAGGACTTTGGAAGCAGGTAGGTGGCATCTTGGGGGTGAGTGGGGGGGGCATTTTTGTTGTCTCCACCCTTTTTTCCTCCCTTCTTAGTGTCTGGAGGGGGTCGTCTGTCTCCACGGAGATGAAGGGGATTTTGACTTAAAGGATTTGTTGCCAAGTTTGTCAATTTCAAATCCTAGTTTGTTTCAGCAATGGCCTCCAAGAGTGGGGCTTTGCCCAGCTCTTCAAGGAGGGGAAGGCAGGGTAGGGGTGAGGTGGGGAGATACTGGCAAATTAAGGTCGGAGACTTATCCAAAGAGGCGCTGTACCTGACAGACCCTTTCCCAAACTTCGATCTCACCCAACCACTGGCCTTTAAGTTCACACTAACCTCTCCCGTTCTTGTGTTTATGTTGTAGGGTGACCGCACAACTGCATCTTTAGTATTTTCTCCTCAGCAACGTTGGGAGGGAGGAAAAGGGGGGATAAAAGAAAACAAAAAAAGATGAAGAAGAGAAGAAGGACGAAAAACATAACCCAGGCAACCAACCCCAAAGCCGCTAAGCAATGCCTGCCGGACCTGCAATGCTCTCAGAGAACAAGGATGCGCTCAGAACAGTATCTTTGCCCTCCAATCATTCACGGAGATACTAAGAGCCACTAGGACCCGAGTCCACGCGTAAAATGCAGCTTGTGTGCAAAGCCAGTGGGCTCTGGCAGAAGGGAGTGGCACACGCCCTGCAGAAACTCCCACCCACCACTGACAGGAGCTGAAAGTGCTAGCTTCCCCGGGAGCCTGCACCTCCCACCCTCTCACAAAGCTCAGTTCTCAGCCCTCTGGCAATGGGTTGTGTTCTCATCCTGATAAGCTGTGGACGTCTGTATGCAGTAAAAGGATGTGATACTCACTCTTTGGAAATCCTGATCCTATGATACTCCCTCCCCAAGCCCTAGGCCCTCCCTCACACCATCTTTTCTACCATTTTCATCCTAGAATGCTTCCAACCTTTTGTGAATTTTTTTTTTATTATAAGAAAAATCTATTTGTATCTATCCTAACCAGTTTGGGGATATATTAAGATATTTTTGTACATAAGAGAGAGAAAAATTTATAGAAGTTTTGTACAAATGGTTTAAAATGTGTATATCTTGATACTTTAACATGTAATGCTATTACCTCTGCCTATTTTAGATGTGTAGTTCACTTTACACCTGCCATTTTCCCTATGTGGCTTTGTAAAGAACTATCCTCATAGGTGAGATCAAAAGGCCACCAGATGTACTTCAGCACCAATGTGTCTTACTTTATAGAAACTTCGTTAATGTATTAATGATGTTATTAAATACTGTTCTAGAAGAACAAAGTTTATGCAGCTACTGTCCAAACGCAAAATGGCAGCCAATTGGTTTCGATAGGTTGCCTTTTGGGAAATTTCTATCACTGCCTTTTTGTCTTACTGTTTTATTACAAACTTACAAAAAAAAAAATGTATAACCCTGTTTTATACAAACTAGTTTCGTAATAAAACTTTTTTTTTTCTTTTTTACAAATGAAAATAATTAGCTGCCTCCAAGCCTTCTTTGACTCAGCTACCCCTGGGCAAGTTATTATTGAAGTGTCCAAGGGAAGGGGTGGATGGGGGAGAAGAGGGTGGTGCAAAACACCCTAAGTGGCAGCAATGACAAAGACAAGTGCTATGCCTAGTGGTATCTCTATGATGAATGTAGAGGGGAAAAAAAAGTAGATAAGAATACTTTTTATTCCCCTTCTGTGCTACAAATGTGGATGCATATAGAGACTTCAAACATCCCTCCCCCAAAAAAACATAGCCTTCTAGTTGATTCAGACTCTTAGAGGGCTTCTAGGCAGTGATTAATGGTTGCAACATCCTTTCATGAAATCACTGCACATTTAAAAAAAAAAAAAAAAAAACTCCCCCAAAGAGTGTACTGCAGAGAGGGCCCTCTGCTCCACTTTTCAGTTCTGGCCCCCATTCCGAGTTTCTCTTTGTGCCACTGCAAGGACTGGATGAAATAATGGAGACCAGGGGTGCTTGGAAGGATGCTGATGCTAGAGTTGGGGCCTGGGGTACTTCTCCTGGCAGCTGTGTTCCTCTTCTCCCACTTTCAGGTAGATTTTCTACTCCTGCCTTCCCACCCACACACTTTTCGTGTTGATTTTAAGTAAGAGGCACGTATACATTCCTTGTGGAAGGAGTTAGAGTGAAGTAAATTGAAAAAAACCCTAGAAATGTGTGGTCTCTTTGAGACACTGGCCCATCTAAGCTTGTGACTCCGTCCGTATAGCGTGAGCTGCGTGTAAAAGTACCCAATTACCAAGATTCAAAAAGAAATTAGTGGGTTTTTGGCTGGCTCGCTTCTTGTCAGTTAGCAGGGACGTGATCAGAATCCTACTCCTCTCTCTCCCGCTCCTCGCTCGCCGCCTGCAGTACTTGCACATTCAGTTTGCGTGTCTCCAGCCAAGCGGAAAGGCGAGCGCAAAATGCATCTTACAAAACCCAACAAAGAACCAGGAGCCAGCACGTCTTCCAGAGTTAAAAATCTAGTCTGTGTTGGTACATCTATACCATTTAGCGGCACAGAATAATCATTTTTTAAAGCCGCGATGCGCGGAGCACGACACAGCGTCTGATGTCATTTTGCTAAATGACCCTCTATAGAGTGCACATTGAGGCTTCAGTTCCTTTCAAAAAGATGAGCGTAATTAAGAAAAAAAAAAAAATCAGTAAATTCCTCTTCGCCATAAATAATCGGACTTTCTGCCAGCAGTGGGCCAATTTAGAGCTTACTGAAGGAAGTAGTGCTGCTGTGAGGCCCGGCTTTATTTTATCTCCTTTGGAGGACCAGAGTCGCGATCCTCCGACCCCACCATTTCTTTTTCTTTTAATTTCGTTCCTTTGCAAGTTTCCAGATAAGGTATGTAAATAAAGTGTAGCAAGTCATTTATGGCTACGAATATAACATTAAGATAACGTTGCAGCCCCCACAAAAGTGACTTTTAAAATTCTTCTTCTCCTGAGACAGGTGTTCTTTTACTCACTCCTGAATGGGAAATACCCAGTCTGTTCAACTCAAGGCAAAGTTAGCCCTTGTTTGCCACAATGCGAAGGCAAACTCGGAAAACTCACAAACACACACACAATTTTGCCGAAGCTAGGAAAGGGCAAAGCGAGGATTGGGCAAAATCTCATTACATCTGCTCTAATCGCTTAGCAACACAAAGCCAGGGCTTGTGCGGCGAAGGGAAGCCATTCACAGCGCCCTGACAGGCCGCATTCAGCCCGCATTAGTCAGCTCCATAAATCAACGCTGCCCATTGGCTGCGCTGCGGGCATTGCCGCGGACCGCGGCTGTCAGCGAAGTACAAAATGTAGACCCCAGTGGCCAGCAAACGCTGCCTCGCCGGCGTCCTAGCGTCCACCCCACTCTGAGGAGAGGGCTCCTGGAGAAGAGGGCAGGGTTGACTTTACTGACTGAGGAATCTTACGTATGCAATAAGTGGTCTGGAGCCCCCTGTGGTACGGTTGGAGACGTGTCTGACATTGAGGAAAATGAGTGGGGAGAGAAGGGAAAAAGCAAAAAATAGCCGCTGGCTGCAGAATTGTTGAATGCACGTGTGATCAGAGGCTGGGCTGGAGCTGTGGGACACGTGGTTTACCTTCCTTACACAGCCTTTTTCAAAACTAGGGTGGGGATGTGTATGGAGGAGAATGTATGTGAAGTTCAGATCAATGGGCCCACCAAAGAGAGAACAGTTCTGCTCTTGGCCTAAAGAATCAGAGGGGTGGGACTGAGTTGGAGCCATGAAGAATGGACTGTGTATTCCCACCTCACTGTTCTTGCAGGAGTGGGAGGCCCGGAACACAGAACCACCAGGCCAATCCCTTTTAAGCCTCAGCATTCATGTTTATGAAGCTGCAGGGACCACTGTGCTGAGATGAGACAATATTTGTAAAGTTACCACATAGCCTTGTGGAGAAATTGCATTACAAATCATACCTAAATGTTAGTGCCTGCTGTTGTTGTTATTATCTGCCATTCCTGTCTGTCATTTTCATGGTACTGGTCCGCTTATACATCTAAGTCACAGTCTAGATTCCAGGCTGACACAAACAAACCCTCTAGTAAGAAGCAATCCAGGAGCCAATGTAGTGTCTGCGTAAGTTTTCCTGGGAAATCCAGGTTGTCTTTCCACAACTGCCACATCCTTTCCTAACCATCCTATCTAAAACAATTTTTCACTCTCTAATCACTAACCAAAGGGAGCTCTGGTAGCATAGTGGCTAAGGCACTTGACTGCTAACCAG